TCCTCAATGTAAACACAAGATTTTAGTTATACCATAGTCCATAGTCATGATCTTACTCAACTGACTTGAAAGAGATATGAGGGGTTTATGTGGCTGTAAAGGCGGAGTTACTCTCTTTTGTCACCTTCTATGCTTTGTCGTTTTTGGGACCAATGTGGGATGGACAGTGGACAGACATTGTTCGAAACCACGAAGTGAAACGTGAGGTTGATATTAGGGTTCCATAAAGTGTGTACATAAAAGTCTCACCCTCAATACTCTCAGCCACTCTTACTATTCTGTTTTTCTGTGCAAAAATCTTGCCGTTCAGTTGGCCAGTAGCACCAACTAAAGCATAGAGCACTCTTGCTTCAGGATTATCTCCTTTGATAAACACCATCTCTGTCTATCGTTAAGTAGGAGAGGTAAGATCTGAGAATCCTGTATTTTCTTCTTCTCTTTTATTTATTTTTTCTTCAATTACATTAGATGGCTTCTTCTTAAGTAATATTTCTATTATGTCGGTGTTTGACAATGTCATGCCCCAAACCCTGGAACGAGACAGATACCATGCACTAGTAAATGGGACCCATGAATGTACAAGGTTCGGAACCTACTGAGTTCTTAGCAATTCAGACAATTCAGATCTAAACCTTTTTATTTACCAATCAAGATGTACAAAAATTTATAACTTTATATATACGATTATGACTAAAACTAAGAAAGTTCTGTATACAAAAATTTCTAAGTCAAGCATTGTGACTAACGACCTAACTACAAAGATCTAAGTCCAAAAGTGCCTAGCCGTCTAGCTCGTCACTCCCCCGGGCTCCCCATGCGTCGGGTCTTACTACCTGAAATGGTAAACAAGGAAAACTATGAGATAAATTTAGTAAGTAAATATGGAGTGCCCTTATTAAACTTAAAGCATACCAACAAATGCAATCACGAAAAACGGATACAGTACGGGAACGAAATAGACGTCTCCTCTATAGGTCACGGCCAGTGTTTAAACCTCCCACTGGCAGGTTACACTATTTGTTAGTGTATAACCCCCACTAGCAGGATCACTCGAACGAACCAGTTCTATCAATAACATGTCGACATGTGCTAGCGTTTAACCCCCACTAGCAGGATCATTAATAACATAACCACATTGGAGACAAAACAGGCAGAAATTAACAGAAAAATCTTAATTCACCAATCACTTTCAAATCGTCATGACAATCAATTAAATTTCAAGTAGGCATGCTCAATTTAATGAAAAGCATAAAAAAAATTTCACTTCAAATCAGTCATATATACTTTTGCATAAAACGGATTTAGTCCCGCCACCACTTCAAAAACAAATCAAAACATGCTTTTAAAAACTATACGGGTATTACCATAAATTTACTTACCTCAATAGCATAAAGTAGAAAACTCACTCCCAGAGCTAGGGTGATAGAATAATCAGGAACCTAGCCAAAATATTTCAGAATTAATAACTATATGAAAACTACCTATTTAATCCTTTTCAATATTGTTGCTGGCAAAACTCCAAAATGCCATATTTATTATTTATATTTTTTTCTCCAAAATTTA